TGGGCACGGTGAGGTGGGTGGCTTAGCGTAGGAGCACCCCCTACTGGCCTGCCACAATCCCCCTTGAAAAAACTGCTGCTGTTTCCATTATGCTCTTCTTTTTCCTTTCACACAACTATTTCAGATTTAGGGACTCCCTATACCTACAAATGAAGGGCACTACCACGGCCACACACACATGTTGGCATATTCAGGGGCTATATATGACAGACCTTGAAGTCTGGTTCCTCTGCAGCTGCCTTCTTATTCCCTTGGTATACCTCGGGTACACTGATGACATCTTTATAATATGGACACATGAGAAGGAATCTATAAAGTAAGGGTGAGCAAAATACAGCCTGCGAGCATATCTGGCCTGTAAATTGATCCTATCTGGCCCATGGGATACTGCCAATAAGGAGGGAGGACTGCACCTTACACTGCTCCGCCATAGCTGGGCCCAGGTCGAGCCATGCAGTACACAGACTCCTCCGCTCCCATGGGCAACTGGTGCCTCCTGAGTCTGGGGGGCACCCACAGTTGCTGATGGCAGCATCAGTGGCAGGGGTGCAGCTAGTGAGCACCCACAGGCACCAGTGCTGGCCCTGTCAGGCACCCCCACTATTTATCGCCTATGTCCACCCACACACCTGGCTTCCTACTGGTGCTACAGCTGTGCAGTTCTGGTACTGTGGCTGCCAGCAACCAGGGCTACATGGGATGGGGCACTATACAGAACACTGAATAGTCATTCTGTCTGCTGCTATGAGCTGCTGCTGTCATGGCACCACTAGTCCATCCTGGCCACAGGCAGGGCTTGGCCCAGGGCAGCCACCCCCAACTTTCTCAGTGTGGCATAGTGGCAGCAGTGGCTCATTGCAGCAGGTGGGTGGGATGGCTACCTGGTACGCTGCATCATACCCTGTCCCATGCAGGTTTGGCTGCCGGTGGCGGGGTGCAGGACTTTGAAGCTTCCACCAGGAAGCTGGGTGGAAAGGTGAATGCAGGGGGAGGCGGAAGAGTCTGCTCACTGCACAGCCCACCCTCCTCAAACTCCAAAAAGAATCAATTTCCACCCCCCTGACCCAGACCCTCAACAGCTCACCAATACTCCTTAAGTGGCTCTCCAGCCCAAATAATTGCCTACACCCATTCCAAAGAAATTCTACTTGGACTTTAACAATTTCCACCCTTCCATCAATCTACTCTAGAATACTTCACCCAGCAAATTTGTTTCCTGGACACTACCGTGAAAATTTGCAATGGCCACATTGCCACCACATTGTATCAGAAACCACCTGATCACCCTACCTTCATGTCCCCAGCTTTAACTTTAAACATACCATTAGATCCATTATCTACACCCAAACTCTACATTGCAATCATTATATGCTCTGATGCTACTGATCAGGATGCACACCTGGAGCAGAGATTTGTACAACTATAATAAAATCTTCAAACTGTAGCCACTCACATCAACAAAGCCAGATTCATGCCTTCCTTTGACCTGCTACAGTATCAACCCTGGGACAAGGACAACAGAATGCTTTTGGTTGTCACCTACAGCCTTCAGCTTGAACACCTTAGATGCATCACTAATGACCTCCAATCCCTCCAGGGAAAGGATGATCATTTCAAGGTAGCAATGGGGAAGAAATCTGTCTTGGCATACAGACAGCCCACCCCAACCTCAAACAGTGTCTCTCAGACAAAAGACTAACTAACTCCCAACCTCACTGAGGCACCAGGCCTTGTAATGGACCCAAATGCCTGCTGTTCCCTCGCATCAAAACAGACCATATAATCGCTGAACTGAATAACAAAGAATATAATATCTAAGGTTTATTCATTTGCAACTCTACCAATGTCATATACACTGTCATCTGCTTACAATGCCCCTCTGCTGTTTACATTGGGCAGATAGGGTGATCTCTACATATAAGAATGAATGAACACTGTCCCAGGGGGATGATAAGAAAGGGTTGGGAGACCCCTCCAGTGGGGACAAACTGCCACGACAAGAAGAAAAGCCCCGAGAGCAAAGCAAACTCACCTTCCCCAGGGACAGATGGGCTGGACGAGCCACAGAGGAGCAGAGAAACCAATCAATTCATCAGCTGCTTTTCTGTGCAGCTGGGGTTGGCATGGCCCAATGATGTCATCAAGGAATGTCACCTGGTGGGGATAAAAGCCGGTAGGGAGAAATCAGCTGGAGGGACACAGCAGGGAGGTGGCTGGAGGACTGTCCCCTGGGCTGAATGGAGGCCTCCCAATGCTTACAAGGAGGGGCCAGTGAGGGACCCAGCAGAAGGGTCCAGGGCTTGATTTAAAGGACCATGTCACCCTGGACAGCAAGGGGTGGCAAACGCAGGACACATGAGTGGCATATGGGTGGAGGCCCCTCCTTGGAGTTTTGGTTCTTTATTTATCTTTCAGTTTACCTTGAAGCTCCGGGGTCAAAGAAAAGGCCAAAGGACAGACGCTGAGGGCTGAGCAGGACGGGCTGCTCAGAAGATCCCAACACAGAGAGGCTAGATCCATCATCGACGCCATCTCACCATCCCAAGCACATCTGTGAGGCACGGAGGAAGGCTGTTGTAACCACCAAAGGCCACAAAAGGCAGAGAGGGAGTGGGACACTATATCAGAGTGGAGTCAAACTGTCCATCATTCAGCAGTCCCAGTAGGCTGGCGCATGGCTGGAGTGTAGGGGAAATGGAGCCCCAGGAATGCCTACTAGTGATGACGCCCAGTGCAGAAGGGAATCCCACTACTGAACAGAATATCCAAGATGTGGGAGGCAAGTATCGGGGTATCCTCTGGGGAAAACGTGACCACGTGTCACGACAGCAGGAGTCATCTCCACGGCAGACCCCTAGTGCGCGCTCCAGGGCCACACGGGAGAGGCTCCATGAAGTCAGACAAGCACAAACACTGATCTGATATCAGTTGCAGAAAGAAACAAAGGCCCATGGCAGAACACTTTAACTTCCATGGATATTTCCTTGCTGACCTCAGGATTGCTGTCTTCAGGAAGAAAAATTAAAAAACCCAGTTTGAATAGGATTGGATTGTGTGAAGTATGGTTTAAACAGAGACTACAAATTCTTATTCCTATACCTGGATTTGTTTTTGTGATTTCCCCTTTGTTCCTATAGGTTCTTTGCTTGCGTCCCTCTCCCAGTACTACTCTCCTCCCTCCTTCCTCCCTGTCCTCCCTTCCCACCTTTTGCATTCAAATCACTCACTCCACTTTACACAGGACTCTGTGTGCTATGTTCGTCCTTTCACAGCATCTGATGAAGGGAGCTTCAATTTATGAACGCTTATGAGGTACATATATATGTATGTATATTATCTAGTCTATAACAGTGGTTTTCAACTTGTGGTCCATAGATCCCTATGGGGGTCTGCAGACTCTGTTTAAGGGGCCTGTGAATGATGATTATGATCAATCCAAAGTATATGAATACCCACATTTACAATTCAAAGGGGTCCACACCTCCATTTGAAATTTCCGAAGGGGTCTCCACCTCCACTGGAAATTTTTTAGGAGCCTGCAAATGAAAAAAGTTTGAAAACTGTTGGTCTATAAGGTTGTATCTACCCTGCATTCTGTTTGACTTGAAACTAGCTAGAATTTGATTTATAAAAACATGTTCTATTCTCCCAAGTAAAAAAAAAGTGACTTAAAAACTTACTTAAAAACAGTGTCAAAATAAAGATCACATTCAGTGTCATTGGAGGATTAACTCAAGGTTAAATAAAAGTACTTCCCCATCAGGGAAAGACTATATAAACAGAAGCTTTACAATGTGCTTCCAACCAACAGAGTACTCTATTGAATTTCTGTGGAGGAAGTGAATCAAGGTTAAAGGCTGTTTGTTTGCTTTCTTTTCCTTTGATGTGTCACTTTGTTTGCACTTTCTGCAGAAGGTAACATTGCACACTATGAGCACAGGATCTCTGAATGATGCTATGTTGACACCACTTAAATCCTCTAGCCTGAAGAGAAGGAAGAGGAAGGACTGTGGCAGTACAAGTCAAAATATTCCTCACCAGTAGCCTGAGGCGAGAGATTATTTTAATTGGTATGACATGGGTCTTCTAAAGCTATCAACAATTGTTTTTTTTGTAGAAGTTAAAAGGTAAATCAAAGGCAACTCATGTTTGAGAGGGGTCTTTATGGCTATAAATAAAATAAAGGTCAAGGTGTCAGTTTTGATGGTGGGTTTTATTTATTTATTGATTTGGATATCTGACCGCCAAGGGCGTAGTGCAAACCAGCCTATTTGACATTGACTCATCAGTGCCAAACTGCTTGAGGAGATATTTTAGGATGGTTAGTCATTTTTCTATGTCTTTTTTAGATGCTGCTTTGGCCTGGCTACAGCAGTTTGTTTCTCCGTCTCCCCTACCCCACTTCTCTGTTTCTGCTTTTTTGCTTCTCACTCTCCCTTCACCACTCACTCAGATATTACTGGATGTAAGCTGGTTACACATGTTTCTACCTGGTGTGTATGCTCTTATGACTGAGCTGAATGCTTTAACCACGGAGAAGCCTTGGCAGAAAACTGCTGCTTGGAAATGAATTCCTATACTTGGGAGCTACTTTTGTGATAAATAACATACATGCAGCTGTAGGAGCGAGGCAAACTTTGGTGATACCTGCTGCTCCAGCAGTGATGGGAGCATATTTATACCATAGGTATATAGAGACTTGGAGTCATCCATGCTTTTTTCTCCTTCTGTGTCCCATACTTGATTCCAGTCCCTGAATGAATAAGCCTCTCCCCCTTCAACAGCCTCTATAAACTTTTTTTTCAGTACAACAAATTGATGTGTGCATATTGCACCCTTTTGCTGTTTGTAATTGTAATTGTTTTGCCCTCTAGTGGCTAACCTAAAAAAGTTTGAATTCTCATAGATAAATTAACAATCCCTTCTGTGATTGTTACTGGTGCTGCTCCTTTAATGAGTAAATGCATTCTGGGATAGGGTCAACTGACAAACTGGTGTTCATTTTGTGAAAGACAGGAATAACTTCTGAACACCACGTGAATCACGTATGGGGTAAGCAATTCAGTTATAATATTTAGAATCTACTACTGTTGTGCTTATTTATAGAGCGTACAACTTGCTAACTAATACAGCAAATAGACTTGTTGGTAGCGTGATAGAAAGCAGATTTTTAAGCCAGAAAATTGAGTTATAGTCACCATGTTATACATGTGTGTATAGCTGATGACTCATATCTCTCTGCATTTGTGACGCAGTGATCCAAAGACGAGAGCATGTAATCTGCTGCCGGTATCTTGAGCAACTCAGTTGCCCATGTTAAGAAAAAATATGTTTAATCAGAATACTGAGAGCACATTTACTGAAGGCAGAAGTTAAAAGAAAAGAGAAGATGAGAAGCAATGCTTTATAAAATATGATTCGCTATTTATGAGAAACTTAAAATATAATTTTTAAGTCATGCTGCTCTCCCAGTAACTGAAATGATCTAGTTGTTATTTGATAGTACCTTCTTTCATCTCCAGGAGTATAATGGCAAGGTAACTGAGACAAAGTAATAAAAATATGTCCAGTATGTTTAGTTGGTGTGAAAGGAGCAGGCTGGTAGTCAGGAAAAAAACGGTTAACCCCCCCCCCCCCTTCCCCTGCTCCCTTGGTTAAAAAAACAAAATCCTAATTAGAAATGAGAAATTCTGCCTATGTTTTATTGGAAGTTTGTTGAAACCAATATATTTCAGCAAAAAAAATGCTGGTTTGACTAACTGGCAATTTCCAACAAAAAACTGTTGTTAGAACAGTGGCTCTCAACATTTTGGACATGAGGCATTACTCCCTGGGCTCAAGCCCCCATTCTATAATTGTTGTGAATTAAGTAGCTCCTGATTAAAAAAACAAAAAATCTAAAAACTAATTGAGAGATTACAGTGCTTTCCTCCTTGCAGAGGGGCCCGGCAGTATGGATGGGGTATCATCCAGGAGAGGACAAGCCTTAGCTTGCACTTATCTGCTTAGCTTAGCCGCTTATTTCCTAAGACCTGACTTATCTCTTCACAGGTTATGGCACTCTCTGGCACCCAGGGTGGCCCAGAACTCTGGGTGAATATCTGTGGCCGTGTTGACACTGTGCAGTAGCTTGTTACTACTGCGTAGTAGTGTCGAGTGGCACAAAGCATAACATAAAGCGTGGCCCAAAGTGTGACGTGACACTACTGCATAGTCAGCATCACTTAAAAGGTATTTGGTGACACTACTCCGCAGTAACTCCCATTACTGCACACCTGCACCTCAGGAGGCAACTGGTGCCTCCTGAGTCGAGGGGGGCGCATCCCCCCCCCCGTTGGCCAAACCTTCCAACCCGGAAGCACAAGTGGGGCACCCGGAAGTGCCAGCAGCACTTCTCCTGGCGCCCTCACTCCTGGGCTGGTGCTTGGTGGGGGGGCGGGGGGCCCTGGCATGCCTGCCTGCCTGTCACCTAAGCGGGGAGCACTCGCTGTCAGGATTGGGACCAGTGCTCTCAGTGGGTGCACGTGCATCCCCATGCACTCCCTATACGTCATCACTGCTGCAATTCTTTAGTACTTGCTTGTGTGTTGTATAAGCAAGTACTAAATGACTGCGCAGTAACGATAGTGCAGTCAGCGTCTTGTGTAGATGTGGCTGCTGTGTTAGAAAATGCCAAATCAGTTTTTTGCCACCGAAGTCTGCAGAGAGAGGCATACCACTTTGTTATGGTGCTTCACACTCCAGTCATTTGTACTGTAGCATCAGATTCTCTTCTCTTCCTCTCTCCTTTGTGTACTCTCATTTCCTCCAGAGCTACCCATAAATATGATTTTGCATTTTCTGTACAAGGACAAAACCTTATGTCAGCATCAGATATCACTGGAGCTGGGTATGCAGTGTTCAGTATCATGTAGCATGAATGCTGCGTGGTTTAGCAGGAGGAGAGTGATGATGAGTCATGGGGTGAGCAGCATAACTAGGGCAGAGCAAGCTGGGCACTGGCCGCCTCAGCACTTTTTTAGAGAGGACGGGTGCCAAGACTGATGGTCGCACCCCCACTCCCCAGCATCTCTGCACCGAAAGTGGCAGTTACATGCCTGAAGAGGACTACTCGGCCTTTTCCTCTCTGCTTTTTGGGGTTTCTTCCATTCCTTTAGTGCAGGCCGGGCAAACACAGCATCCCCTCTGCCCTGGGACAGGTTCCTCGGGGCAGTGGGATGCAATATGGGCAGGACGGCCTGCTCACCCACAGCCTCTGCGCTTAGAGCTCAGCAGCTCCGCAGTGCTCCGTGTATGGGGCAGCCCCTAAGCCGCTTCCCGCGCTTAGAACCCCAAGGGCATTGTGGGGGAGGGGTATGCAAATTTCCTCCCGCCTCCGCCAATCCGCCTCTGAGGGAAGAGCCCATCTCCAGGAATCGACGTTCCATGGGCAGCAGGAGCAGTACTGAGTCCGGAACCGCTCCCCTCTGCGCAGCCAATCAGAGCGGCAGGGAGCCCGACCAATCAGCAGCCTTCTTTCTCTTTGCTACTGGAACGATTGAGAGGGCGGGGGCGTGGCCTGGCCCGGCGAGGCCCCCCCCCCCCGTTGGCCCGGGCC